GCCAAGATGCACTTTTTTCTTTGTATGTTCCTCAGTGATTCCTGGGCACCGGGACATTTGAGAACGACTACTGCTCCCCAGCTGAGGGAAGACAGCAAAGCCCGGCTCGGGTGAAGAGCTGCAAGAGAGGTGGGCAGGGGGAGGGCAAGGGAGGGTGGCACTAACTGGCCAGGGGCGCCTTCTGTCACCAGAGCTCATCTGACCTTGTGTTTCCTTCTGCAGTTTCCAGTGCTAATCAGCTTCTTGCTCTGCGAATCCTGAGTTCAGTCTTTGGAGCTTTGCCCAGGTGAGTCTGAACTTTTGAATGGATCTGCCCTGCAGCGATGGGTGGGTGCCAACAAGTTCTTCTTTTTTGTCTTTTTTAATCGATTTTTTTTCTTTGGGGGGGTGAGAGAGAGAGAGGGAGGGAGGGAGGGAGAAACATTGATTTGTTGTTCCACTTGTTTTTTATGCATTTATTGGTTGATTCTTGTATGTGCTCTGACGGGAGATTGAACCCGAAACCTTGGTGAATGGGAGCGACACTCTAACCAATTGAGCTACCCGGCCAGGGCAAGCTCAGCTTCTTAAGAAACCCAAGCAGTGCTTTTCCTGCAGGGCCTCCTTACAGGCCCCCTGCCCCCTCAGAAACCTGGCTTTCACTGCCCCAGTTCCAAAATCCTGCATCTGAGCTGATGGTTCCCCAAAATGCCTGCACCCTGCTCTTCCCTGCTGCCTCCAGTCTCAGGTTCGATTCTTCACCCTGTGTTCTCAGAGCAGTGGTTCTCATTTGATCACACGTAAGGATCATCTCAGGGCCTTATTGAAAAGGCAGATCTTGCCCTTCCGGCGTGGCCCAGTGGTTGAGCATCGACCTAGGATCCAGGAGATCGCAGTTCGATTCCCGGTCAGGGCACATGCCCGGGTTGTGGGCTCGATCCCCAGTCGGGGGCCTGCAGGAGGCAGCCAATCAATGACTCTCTCATCATTGATGTTTCTATGTCTCTCACTCTCCCTTCCTCTCTCTGAAATCAATAAAGACATATTTTTTTAAAAAGAAAAAGCAGATCTCAGACAAGCTGGGAAATTTGAACACTGACAGGATATTTGATATTAAGGACTTATTGCGGAATTTTAGGCGTGACCATGGTACTATATATATATAGTTGACCCTTGAACAACGTGGGTTTGAACTGCGTGGGTCCATTTATATGCAGACCTTTTTCAGTAAATACATACAGTACTGTAAATGTACAGGGTGTCCCCCCAAATGTATACACTTCAGCTGTTAAAGTGTGTATACATTTTGGGGGGGACACCCTGGATTTTCTCTTCCTTACGATTTTCTTTAAAAAGAAAAATTTATTGATTGATTTTAGAGAAATAGAGGAAATAACGTTTTCTTTTTTTCATATAATCAAAAGTACTTTAAATTCGGTATTGTATTAGTTTCAGGTGTACAGCACTGTGGTTAGACAAAAAGTTTTCTTTTCTCTAGCTTATTTTTATTGTAAGATTATAGCATATGATACATATTGCCTGTAATATGTTAATTGACTGTTTAAGTTATGGTAAGGCTTCAGGTCAATAGTAGGCTATTAGTAGTCAAGTTCTGGGGGAGTCTATAGCTATATGCAGAGTAGCAGTGGCAGGGTGGGGGGAGGGGAAGAGGAGAGAGCGAGAGTAGGGGAGGGGTCGGCACCCCAGCCCTGAGTTATTCAAGAGTCTACTGTGTGTGTGCGCGAGCATGTGTGTACACATATATAAGTGAAATACTTTTCGAGAAACATACTAAAATATTTTGAAAGAAATAATATGATGTATGGGGTTTACTTCAGAATAATCTGGGGCAGGTAGAAGCATATAGATGATATAAAATTGAACAATTGATGCTAAGTGGTCTGTGCATGGGGGTTCCTTATTCTGTTCCCTGTACTTTTGCAGATGCTTAAATTTTTCTATAATAAAAAGTGGACAAAACAAAACAGAAAGCACCCCTTGGTCAGGGGTACGTTTTACAGGCACCCCAGGTGGATGCATGCGGGGGATCCGCCCACCCCACTTGGAGAAACTGCTCTGCAAAGCTGGTTAATGGGAACTCAGGCGGCCCCAGCAGAGTAATCCCTGGACCACGAGAAATGCATGGAATTGGCTCACTCAGTCCCTTTACCCCTCCACCAAACAAATGGGGAGACAGTAATCTCCAGGAAGATCAGGGTCAGCCTCACGTGTGGCCCTGTCTCTTCTTACCTGGGTCACATGGAGGTGGAATTTCAGCCGTTGGGTGTTTGTAAAGATTTGTCTGTCTTTTCAAAGTAAAGTGGTTTTGGAAATTAATTGATGATAGGAGGATGAGTGTGATATATTTTTGTTTTCCAAAACTAGTTTTTATGTTATTTCATTGTTACCATGAAAGGAGTGCTCCGGTGTGCTTGGCCCATGCATTGGAAGGCTGTCTCAGGGCCCCGCTGAGGCTTCAAGAACTCTCCTCCTATCATCAAT